GGCTTTGAGGTGTCAAAAGTCAAGTCATTCCCAGTTTCCCTCCCTCCCTTCCCTTCCTTCCCCCCTCCCTCCCTCCGTCCCTTCCTCCCTCCCTCTCTCATCTTCCTATTTCTCTCTCTCTCTCTCTCTCTCTCTCTCTCTCTCTCTCTCTCTCTCTCTGTGTGTGTGTGTGTGTGTGTGTGTGTGTGTGTGTGTGTGTGTGCAGAACAGATGTAAGCTCTCAGCTACTACTCCAGCACTGTACCTTCCTGCCTGCCACCGTGCTTCTTGCTGTGATGGCCATGGACTCTAGCCCTCTGGAACCATAGCCCCAGTTCAATGCTTTTTTTAATAAGTTGCCTTGGCCATGGCGTTTTGTCAGGGCAGTAGAAAAGCAACTAAGACAGAGGACCTGGAAATTCAGCTCCTAACACGCACATCAGGCAGCTTACAATCACCTGCAAAACTAGCTCCAAGGGATCGGGTACCCTCTTCTGGCCAGTCAGGTACCTGCACACACGTGTTCATATACATACAAACAAACAAACAAACATATATACATACATACATACATACATACATACATACATACAAATAAAAATAATCTTTCAAAAAATCTAAAGATCTGTTTATGACCTGGCAACTCCAGCAGAAGAGAAAACCAGTGCCCTGGAAGACTGGCTTGGTAGTGCTTAACTCACATGCACAAGACTCTGGGCTCCCCAACATGCAAAAATGAAAGCAAACCAACTTAGAGAAGAACTCTGTACATCAGCACAGTGGCTGTCACAGACCCTGTATGTACAGCCATGGGTTGTGCAACTAAGGACAGACCCTCTTTTGGTACCCTAGGCAACTGACCAATAGAGACATCAGGGACCATAAGAAGCCCAAGTCAGGCACCTGGGTAGCCCCAAAGAATCAGACCAGGGTACCCTGCCACTACCAGCTTTGTGCCTATGAGCAAGGCAGTCAGCCCTCCCGAGCCCTGATCTAACCACTGTACATGGTCCCACTTGCCTCTCCAGGATGGATAAACACAGGCTGCCCAGGTGTCCATGTGGGTCACAAGACTCCCAGTTGCCCTGAGCCATGGAAAAGGCTTTGAAAACTGCAAGTGCTATGCAAGTGACACATTTGCCACGCTTAGTGGCTGAGAGGATAGCTCTGGTGTAGGCTGATGGATGAAAAACTCACTCTCACGCGGATCCATCTTGTGGCCTCAACTCAGTACCACATCAGCCACACTGAAGTAAGGCACAGCATCTCTTTCCTGTGTCCACATCCAAAACTACACAAAATGCAAGCATTTCACCGCTGCCATTGCAGTGGCCCCTCCCCCTCGGGGTGGTCCCAAGATTCCAGCAGATACCCAAAATTACAGCTAGAATAAAACCTATACATACATGGAGAACTGTCTCCTCACAGAGAGGAGGAGACATGGCTTCCCTTAGCCCTGCCTGGTTGGCCTGCTCTGAAATTCTTGTACTGTGGAGATATTCAGTAAAATAGCAGTGCCTTTGAATCCAACACTATGACACCATGATAGTCCGTCTAGCGGCAGAAGCAGCTGCTGACTTACAGGCCAACAGCACACCCAGCATGTACTCACTGGGCACGAGTGGACAGACGTCTCCAGACGCTCCAGGTTTCATTATGCTACTCAAAACAGCACACAATTTAAAGTGGGTGAATTGTTTATTTTTGTAATTTTCCACTTAATGTTTTTGGACCTCAGTTGACATCAGGTAACTGAAACCCAGGAAAGTAAAACCTCAAATTGGGAGCGGGGAGACTGCGATGTTATTATTGTAGGTGAAACCACCCGTGCCCTTAAGTATTCTGACTCCCCTGCTCCCCAACTCTCACCCCAACCTGACCTCCAGGTTACTTTGTAGGACATTCCAACCCCCTGCTGTGAGGCTAACAATGGTAGGGGAAACTGTGTCTCCAGTTACCCAGGTGTCCAGGGTACTAGCCCTTGTGTGCAGACAGCCTAGCCTCAGATGCCTTGATAGCCATCCCACCCAGGGATGCCAGTTATCACGCATACAGAGGTCCTGACAGGAGGTGCCTTAGTGGGCAATCCATTGGGCAATCACCATCCGGAAATTCCTCAAACTCTATCTTTCAGGGCCTGAGAAACAGCTGCTTCAGCTCTTTGCAAGGATCAGGAGTGTCTACGGCAGGCATCCTAACTCTGTCCTGCCCCTAAAGCCCCACGGGAGGGGGCAGCCCCCTGGCTCTTCTACCCAATGCCTTGGGCAACATCTGTTGAGTAAGAAGAAAACACGAGTTGAAGATTAAACCACTCAACCCTAGCTGGCCTGGGCACAGGCTGAAAAATATGTTTGGCCAGCAGAGCCTGAACCGGGGCAGAAAATCTGGGTCTGAATCAGGGGAAGGGTGGTTAGGATTCATTCAAGGTCAGAAAGAAAAAAAAAAAAAAAAAAAGCTACGGAAGCAGAGATAAACCAAGGCCAGAGCATGCCTTAGACAGACAGATGAACGGGACACACCAGGTTGGGAAACTGGAGAATAAGACAGGCCAGACAGCAGCCTACAGAGGCTGGAAGGCTGGCAGTGGAGAGAAAAGGAAGGAAAACCCTGAACCCACCCTTTCCTCCCTCTTAGGTGCCGGCTCCAAGCGCTTGCCTCACCCACCACAAGGAAGCAGGTGCTGAGTGTGCTGGGGAGCCAAACTTTCTCCTTGTTTCGCCTGCGCCACTTTCTCACTGGCAGGGCAGCACAGAGCTTCCTAGTCAATGCAGTGGCTTGCCCCAGACCCCCATGTATGGAACTCACCACAGTCATTAGGGAACACCCACCTACCCCGCCCCCAGCTATCACAGTCCTAAATTGTGCCCAGGGCACGTGTATGAATGCCTCCTGAATGCACTGAAGATAAAAGTCCCTGTCCTGGAACTCAAATGGTATGGGTGCAGAGTATGTGAGAGAGGCCATAAGCACCACGGAGCAAGGGAAGAAGGAAGGGAGGTGAGATTCCTGTGGGAAGGGAAACGCTGGCACGCGAGGAGGGCAAGAACCTTGCAGGTGTGTCTATGGGAAGAGCATTCAAGGCAGAGGGAACAGAAGGAGCCATGTCCCTGAGGTAGCATGGTGTCTGATATGTTTAAGGGTCAGCAAGACAGAGGCCCGGAACTACAACAGAGTGGGGGGGGAAAAAGAGGTAAATTGGGAGAGGAAGGTTTCTGTAGAAGAACCTAAGGTTTGCTCCAAGTGAGGTGACAGTCCTCGGTGGCTTTGGAATATATATTAGGTGGATTAGTTTGATGTTCTATTCTTTTGACAACTTCATGAAGTAGGTGCTATTACTAGCTCCCATTCTAGAGAAGGGCAACTAGAGAGAGGGGGGAGGTAGGTGACGTGTTCAGGGTCACTGAAGCCAAGCAGTTGGGGAACAGGGAATAGGGGATGAATAAAGATCTGGGAATGGGGTGCTGGGACCAGGGGAGGGAGTGGAACTCCCTGAATTCTTACTGCTGGAGCAGGTGGTCCTGAGGACCTCCAGGCCCCCGCCTCACCAGGAGACTGCCCATCCAAAGTGCTGGAAGACCACTGCGTGGGTACAACACGGAGTCAGGGAGAAGTCCTACCTGGCGCATGTGTCCTTCAAAAGGCAGGCGGTCCTCCAGCCGGAGCACCATCCTATGCCCTTCTGCCCTGACCTTGGACCCTGCCTCTGTAAACAAAGCTCACCAGCCAGATGCTGGCCCCTGCCTCGTGGTCCCTAAACCCTGGACCCTCCACTTTCCTGGCCAGCCAAGGACATTCCGTTCTTAGCCCTAAGGTAGTAGCTCAGTACAGAAGACAAGAGTCATCCATCTTCTCTCCCCATTGCCCTCCTCCGGTACATGGCATGCCTTTGTGACCCTGGAGAGGTTTCTGGCCAAACCATTCCCGCTTCATTCACAGCCTCACCCCTACCCTGCTGTTGCTACAGGGCTCTGTGAAAGTAACACTCACATGTAGAGGGCCCAGTGGGGCAGCTGGAATCCAGGAGAGGCTGACCTAGGGCGCCTGGCCTCTGCGGCTGGTCCAGCCATGGCCTGAGTATATAGCAGAGCAACATGGCTCTGAGGCAGAAAACCCAGTGTATCAGAGACCCAAGAAGCAAAGAGAAAGAAGGGACCAGCCTACAGTTACAGGCAAGTTACGGTTGGAGCAAAAGAAAACTAGACGGACTGGGTGTGTGTCCCACATCTAGGCAGAGCAAGTGACCACACTTTTATGCAGGATACTAACAATCAGATTTAGACTCCCCTTAACATTGGCACCACCACCGGTGTTCCACACCAGCCCCACGGATCTGGTGGGCCCTCATCAAGCCCCTCTGCACATTCCTCACACACACACACGCACACGCACACAGTTCTTCTGCAGTCCCCAGACCCGGCCTGCCCCCAGAACACAGCAGAGTGGGACCTGGAGAGGCTAAGGAAGCAGGAAGCTCAGCCAACACGTCAGCCCAGCTGGAATCAGTCTGCAGCGGGCCAGCTCCACAGCCCCACAACTCACGGAGGTCCTGCCCCTGTCCAAACTGTTCTGGAAACATGACAGGGATGAGGGGGATGAGGGCCATAAAAGCAGAAAAACAGAGTCATGGGGACATAGCAAAGCTGAGGAGAGGAGCAGAGGCCACCACCTCATAGATGGACTCCGGGAAACACCGTCTATCCCCCTGCCTCCAGCTGAAGGGTACAAGACCTACAGTCAGGAGGGTGGAAGGAGATACAGCAGCACACCCTAGTCCTCCAAGCTCTGGAACAACAGTAACCTAGCCAGGCCTAGGGACATACTAAGATGGCCTTTTATGGGTTTTCCCAAGGACCTCAAATCTCCAGACACACAGAGCAGGCCCTGCAGCATGTCAGGAGGGACCTCATGACTCATTTCCTTTCACCAGCCTCAGTCCAAAGCCCTCAACCCTCTCCACCCCACAAACCCAGCTCCCAACATGCAGGGGAGAGTAGATGGGGGAAAGAAAGGCCGTCACTCACCACCAGTTCATGGCTGGATGGAGGAACACAAGGGGCAGCCACCTGTGAGAGAGGTAAAGAAAGTCCCTGTTAGCATCTGTTCCAGCAGCCCCTGGACCTCCTGAGGTCACTTTTACCCCATCCCCAGGGGGAGAGCCCTTCCCTGAGGCACAGGGAGAGCTCTTCAGAAGTTCACACATGAAATATCCCTCACAAGTCAAATCCCTGTGACAGGTCAAACACCCACCTGGATGTCAGCATAGCTGCATTTATACCCTGGATCCTACAGCAACCATAAAGTCCCCCACCCCAACCTCTGATTCCTCTACAGTGTAGAAAGATGAATTTAAAATAGTTGAAAAACATGATTTAGACCTCCGCCCCAATTTTCTCCCCATAGCCAGTGGTTCACCCTCCAAGTCAGAGCTGGGGGAGGCTCCTGCAGGCCGGGAATAGCCAAATCTCCCAGGAATCGCACAGAGCATTTTGGGGGGAGGCAGCACCCACTAGGAAGGGGACTGTCATTATCAGTTCATCTTCGTCCTGCTAGGAGCCAAGGTCATGGCAACTTGGGCCGCTAAAAGGGAGAGAGGAAGGAGGGCTCAATGGCCAGGCCAGCCCAACAATTAGCAGGGCACGTGTCAGAGGCCAGTGCGTTCCTTTCTCCAGCCAACACATTTTTGTTAGAGCTCAGTACGCAACCTTGGCTCTGACTCCTCACCCAAGCACCAGGCCAGAGGCCCACAGAGAGGCAGGGGGTGGTTGAGGAGGCAGCTGCCACTCCAGACAGGAGGCAACCCCATCTCACATGCAATATCAACGGTTGCAGAGCTGGTACCACCTAGCCGGCATGCTTCTCAATAAAGCGCTTTGCCCTTTCAACCACCAGAAAGACAGCCTCTACCATTACCTCCCCAGGAGGTGTGGGGACACAGACAGGGTAAGCAATTTACCCACAGTCACACAGCAAATGTTGAGCCTGGGAATTGAACCCAGGCAATCTGGGTCCCAAGACTTGGTGTGAAGAGGTCTGATGACTCATGGTCCTCCCTGTAGGGGAGTGAGGGGTACAGAAAGAGCCCAAAGCCCAGTGTCTGGTTCACATGAGCATAGAACTTGGGGTGAATGTTTTACAGGTGTCTGAGGGGATCAGGCCCAGGGTGGAAGCTAACATGGAGAGGAGAGAGATCTGCCAAGCTGCCTATGGTCATCCTGATCAATAGCCATGGCTCAGCCACAGGTTACACTGCCTGTCCTTTATAGTTCCAAGCCAAAAACGCAGATCAAGCTCTCAGAGGCCCCCTCCCAACTCACTGGAGCGCCACAGGGTCTGGGTAGGATTGCTGGACCACGTCCTGGCTGGGTTCCCATCCTGAACACTGCAGATAGATATCTGTGGCCGATAAAAAGGGCCCTACACAGGAGGTCAGCGCTGCCTCAGCTACCAGACAGAGCCCAAACTGGCCTCCATTGTATAAGGGTAGGCAGTGGCTTTGAGACACACAGAGGGTCTCTCTCCCAGGCCCATCCTAGCTATGGACCATTTCCTCTCCCTTTATGCCCAACTCCCCAGGCAGATGTACCCACTAAGAACCATTGCCTAAGGGGGTACAGTCATACCTCCACAAGGCCATATCCCTGAGGGCTTTCCACCCCAGGCCCATACTGGGCCATGGCTGCTGGCCCATGGACTATGTCTCAGAGTCTCATACTTGCTCTTTTTTTTTCTTCTGAGGCACAGAAATGTTTCCTTAAAAGGCCGTCTGTCTCTCCTTCTCTACAGCACCCTGGCCCCTAGCCACCCTCTCAGGAGCCCAGAATGTGCCAGGAGTACCAGGGAATCTGCCACTCTGTGGTCTGTGCTCAACAGCCCCGCACTCCTGGCATCAGCAATAGCTGACCCTGCTAACTATAGGGGACTTAGGTAGCCCTGGGCTGTCTTCAAGGACTCTGATGACAGCCCTGCTTTGACCTCACCTCTGAGCCAAGATGCCAGAGATGAGACACAGGTGGTCGGCCTCAGGTGAGTGGCTCCCCCTGGCAGCCCTCTGGACTTGGGACAGAATCATCCTACTGCTCCAGGTCCCCACATGAAGAATAAAGGACACTGAAGTCACAGAAGCAGCAACCACCACCACGTTCACTTTCCAGGAGCCGTGGCTCTGTGCAATGTGACAACTCATCTAGGGCTTACAAAGGCCTGGGCCTACTAATTACAATCCCTGCTTAGTAGACAGGAGACTGAGCCCCAACTGGGTAGAGGCAAGATCCTGCACTGCTCTCATACCCACCATGCACTGCACAGAGCAAGCGCCACCCAGACACCTACCAGCACCTCCTTTCATTGTCTCACTACCTTGCAAGAAGAAGGACCTAGGCCCCAGTTGGGTAGCATCCCTGTTCCCAAGACCCCCAATTAAAACCAACATTCTCAACCTTGCATACATAAAATTCCAGATTCCTAAACTGGCCAGGTCCTGCAGAAGAGTCTCCATACTTGTGCGCTCTGACCCAAGAAACTGTACTGGAAGCCTCATACTTCCAACCATAACCTCATCAGTTGGGGTGGTCCAGCATCCACAGTATTCTGGGTAAAAACACTATCTTGGGTTTCCTTCCTAACATGTGCTGGGTCTGTGTTTTTTCTTATTTTATTTGGTGGTGGTGGTGGTGGCTTTTTTTTTTTTTTTTTTTGAGTCAGGGTCTTGCTATATAGCCAACACAAGCCCAAAACCCTTTCCTGCCTCAGCCTCCCCAGTGTTGGAATCATAGGTTTGCATCACTGTATAGTTGGCTCAAATGCTCCATCTCACCATCTTTTTCTAATAGCATAATTTTAGAAGTGTGTGTACGCATGTGTGAGTGTGTGTGTGTGTGTGTGTGTGTGCGCACGCGCGTCCACACACACGTTGGGCACATTTATGCCATGGTATGTGTATGAAGGTCAGAGGACAACTTGCAGAAATCAGTTCTCTCCTTCTACCACATGAGTCCTGGAGATGGAATTCTGATGTTTGGCAGCAAAAATCTTTACCCTCTGAACCATCTCATTGCTGCTCTCCCTTTTCATTGTGACAAAATATGCATGACATAAAAGTTCCATCTTAAGGGCTAGGGATGTGGCCCAGTGATAGAACTTTTGACTGGAATGCACAGGATGCTGGATTCGGTACCCAATACCCAACATAATTATTTATTATTATTATTATTATTATTATTATTATTATGTTCTTAAAATACAAAGTATCATAAAAAGTAAGATTTCTAAGTATACAAATCAGTGGGATTGAGTTCATCAACAGTGACATGCTAGCCAGTACCTAATTCCAGAACTTTTTCATCATCCAATACACTACACCTACTGAACGATGTCCTTTCTTTCCCTCCCCACACCAAAACATCTCAACTTCTGCCTCTGTGAATGTACCTACCCCAGAGACGTCTGTGATGTGATGATAGATACCTGAGGGGCTTTGACCATCACTCCCATCTAAACTCCCTTTCCAAGGCAGATCTCAAGAATTGAGACGTCTGTACTCCTGGGCAGGCCACACAAACTCTCATCTTCCAGGACCATGTATCCTGGAACTGGCCACAGACTTCTGACCCTTCCCTTGTCCCTCAGCAGGACAGGACCCTCTTCATTACAGAGGGAGGAATGATGCCCAGAGAGGCCAGGAAGAATGTGCACAAAAGGCCTTCCTGCGTTTGCCACAAGACCATGAGCAATCAGACCCATGCAATGAGACCCAACGGATGGGCTTTGGGGGCCTTACACATAGCTCCTGGAGAGAAAGGTACCCCTCACTCCCACACTGCTCACCCTGCATACCTCATCATCTGTACCCTTCATCAAATCCTTCCTGGTACACCACAAAACATGCCCGCCCGCCCCCAAGTTTACAGGGCCACTAGAGCAAATAGATGGTACCCAAACCAGAGTCATAAGAATCTCAAATGATACCCTATTGGTCAGAAGCACAAAGACACCCTGGAGTTTGAAACTGGCACCTACAAGAAGGCAGCCCTGGGACCACGTACACAACCTATGGGGTAAGTCACTGTGTCTGGTGTGATATTGATCTAGACTGGGTTGGATGTCACCTGTAGTTGTCAACCACTGCAAAACCATTTGCTGATTTTGATGAGACCTACATAAACACCCACAGACAGTCTTGTGCTATCTGGTGTGACAGAAACCAGGACATTTGCGTTCTGTTAACAGACACACTCTTGAAAGACCAAGCATATGCTTGCTGTTTTGTGTCTGGCTGATTCTCCTTCATGTTATAGCTGAATAATATCCCCTAAATTGGCATGCGAAAATCCAAACCAGTCCCTTGTAATGTGCCCAGTGATGGAGTCGTTAAAGAGGTGATTGAGTGAGTCCACCGAGGTGAGCCCTGAGTCAGTACAACCTATTGTCCTTACAGGAAGAGACACAGACTGAAGAGGGAGAGCCCATGGGGACACAGTGTCCATGTACTGAGAGCCAGGCCACAGGAGACAGTGTTGTGTTCTGATCCTGATTGTAGAACCCAGCCTGGAAGCCATGAGAGCCAATTTCATGACCCTGAATCCACATTTCTAAGATCGACCAAGGTTCAAGGTAAAACTCCCACTGTGTGCACCACCACCCTGAGTGGATCGATGTGTGATGGACACATGGCTCATTTCCACAGAAGTATTAATGGTGATCCATATTCCTGTCCAACATGTCCGGGTACCCACATTAATGGCACCAAATGGTATAGGGAACAGAAGGATAATGGGGTTTATATAGCACCTACTGTCACTGAGTTGGCACTTTACAGCCATTCACATTTTCACTTTCAGACCAATGTTTAGATTTAAAAAAAAAAAAAAAAGCCTCACAGAAGTTAAGCCCAAAGTCAAACACCTGGCAACAGTATCTGGGCAGCAATGGCTAGGGGGGCCGCCCAGGTTTCCTAATAGCAAGCTCTAGTCTAGTATGGGGTGCCTCTTCCCCCACTCCCACCCCCAGCAAGGTGGGCATCAGTGCACTAGTTTCTAGGGACCTGCAGGCTCTCAGAAAGACCATC